AGTCAAAGGAATGGCACGAAAAATGGGGAGGGCACTGGAGAGAAACCGAGATGCAGGAAAATGCAAGGGCAGAACGTGAAGGGGACCGGACAGAATGCGAATAAAGGAGTCTTCAAGGAAATGAAGGGAGCTGAAACGGCAGTGAAGTGGAAGTGAAGAGACATGCCAGGAAACTGTCAGTGAAGACATGCAAAGGAAAAAAGTTCATTCAAGTCATCCCGAAAACTAGCAGGACTTGGAGGGAAAGGAAATCAAAGAACGGGAAGGGGTGCCCGGTGGCCGGCTGTGTCGCGTCAGCGTGTAAATCCGGCCACCGGACGTGATCGGGCCGCAGGCCAAAGCCCGTTAGGGCTTACCTTCAGGTATAAGGCCGCGCGCCCCATGCCGCCGACCATGAGCGGACCATGCGCATACGCTTTGTGCTGGGCCCTCCCTTATAAGGGGCGAAGGATCTCCCCGCAGCGCCCAAAAACGAACATTTTTAGGGGGTGCCTAATAGTGGACAACACCCCCAGCATTGCCAGCATCATCCCGGATGATGCGGATGATGTTATGCATGCCGGCGATGCGCGGGATGCTGGGGATGTTGTCCCCTAAGTCGGGCCAATTTGCAACCTGAAAATCTTAAAATCTAAAGTGGATGGAAATGGATGGAAAATGACCTGGATTGAAATCTCAAAATCCTAAAATCTTAGATTCTTAAAATCTTAAATTAATACCTAACAATCAATCTTAGAATCTCAAGATCTTAAAATCTTAGAACTTAGAATCTTAAAATCTAAAAATATAAAAAACTTCCTAAAGTCTTCGAATCTTGAAATCTTAAAAACCTTATATCTTAGAATCTTGAGACCTTAAACTCTTAAAATATGAAATGTTAGAGCCTTAATTCTTAAACCATTGAAACCTGAAAATTCTGAAAGTCTTCAAATCTGAGACCCTTAGAATCTCAAAGTTTTTAGAATTTTGAAATCTTAACATCTACTCATCGGACTTACAGGAAAGGGAAGTGACAGAAACCCTCATGTCTTTGAATCTTCAGATGTTAAAATCTTAAAATATGAAATTCCTAAATTCTCAAAAAAATCAGAATCTTAAAAGCTTCAAAAACTTAAATTCTTTAAATCTCGAACTATTGCAGTCTGAAAATCTTAAATTCATAAACAAGTAAAATATAATAAAATTCCTTCAATCCGGGCTATATTCTAAATTCCTTAAACTCTTAATCTTGAAATTTTGAAGTCTTGACATCTTAAGATCTTAAAATCTTAAATTCCGAAAGTCGCCCAATCTGAAAATCTCACAAAAAATAAAATCTTAAAGCCTTCGAAATCTGATAATGGATGGAAAATGGCTGGGCAATGGCCTGGCTGTTATAACCTTCAAAAACCTTAAATCTTCGAATCTTAAAACCTTAATTCTTCAACCATTGAAACCTTAAATTCCGAAAGTCTTCAAATCTGAGACCCTTAGAATCTCAAAGTTTTTAGAATTTTGAAATCTTAACATCTACTCATCGGACTTACAGGAAAGGGAAGTGGCAGAAACCCTCATGTCTTTGAATCTTCAGATGTTAAAATCTTAAAATATGAAACTCCTAAATTCTCAAAATCTGATAATCTCAGAATCTTAAATGCTTCAAAAACTTAAATTCTTTAAATCTCGAACTATTGCAATCTGAAAATCTTAAATTCATAAACAAGTAAAATATAATAAAATTCCTTCAATCCGGGCAATATTCTAAATTCCTTAACCTCTTAATCTTCAAATTTTGAAGTCTTGACATCTTAAGATCTTAAAATCTTAAATTCCGAAAGTCGCCAAATCTGAAAATCTCACAAACATAAAATCTTAAAGCCTTGGATGGAAAATGGCTGGGCAATGGCCTGGCTGTTATAACCTTCAAAAACCTTAAATCTTTGAATCTTAAAACCTTAATTCTTCAACCATTGAAACCTTAAATTCCGAAAGTCTTCAAGTCTGAGACCCTTAGAATCTCAAAGTTTTTAGAATTTTAAGATCTTAACATCTGTTCATCGGACTTACAGGAAAGGGAAGTGACAGAACGGGCAGGGCAAGGTGCCCGGTGGCCGGCTGTGTCGCGTCAGCGTGTAAATCCGGCCACCGGGGGGCTTCAGACCCCGTGGTCCGTGAAGGCCTAGGCCCGCAGGGCCTACCTTCAGGTACAAGGCCGGCCGCCCTGTGCCGCCGACCACTGCCGACCATGCGCCGACCATGCGCTATACTTTTGCGCTGGGCCCGCCCTTATAAGGGGCGAAGGATTTACGGATTTGTTCAGGCGAGTTTTGGCGGCTTTTTGAGCATCTCCTCGAGGAGTCAAAAAACGAGTGTTTTTTGGGGGATGCCCATAATGGACAACATCCCCGGCATCACCTGCATCATCCGCATCCTTGGCGGGCACTGATGCGGATGATGCCAGTGATGCGGGGGATGCTGGGGATGTTGTCCCCTAAGTCGGGCCAATTTTGCCGAAAACGTGCGACCTGAAAATCTTAAAATCTTAAATTGGATGGAAAATGGATGGAAAATGGCCTGGATTGAAATCTCAAAATCCTAAAATCTTAGATTCTTAAAATCTTAAATTAAAATCTAACACTCAAACTCTCAAAATCTTCAATCTCAGAATCTTAAAAGCTTCAAAAACTTAACTTCTTTAAATCTCGAACTATTGCAATCTGAAAATCTTAAATTCATAAACAAGAAAAAACATATAATAAAATTCCTTCAATCCGGACTATATTTTAAATTCCTTAAACTCTTAATCTTGAAATTTTGAAGTCTTGACATCTTAAGATCTTAAAATCTGAAATTCCGAAAGTCGCCAAATCTAAAAATCTCACAAAAATAAAATCTTAAAACATCCGAAATCTAATAATAGATGGAAAATGGCTGGGCAATGGCCTAGCTATAATAGCCTTCAAAAACCTTAAATCTTTGAATCTTAAAACCTTAATTCTTAAACCATTGAAACCTTAAATTCCGAAAGTCTTCAAATCTAAGACCTTTAAAATCTGAAAATTTTTAGAATTTTAAAATCTTAACATCTATTAATCATCCGCATCCATAACGGGCACTAATGCAGATAATACCGATAATGCGGGGGATATTGACCCCTAGGTTGGGCCAATCTTGCCGAAAACGTAAACCACATAGTGTTTTTCAAGGTTTTTGGCAGGTACGAACGTAGAACATATCGAAACCTGCTTGGCAGGCAAGCCTCGACGATCCCGGCCGAATTCGATTTTAGGCAGGAATTTAAGTGAACAATAAAAAACACTATGTTTTGCCAACATGCAGCAAATCAGCCAACACTTAATCCTTTTACATATTGTGGCTCATGCTGCTACGTACGACCTTTTTTCCCCTATACCGCCGACCACCGCCGACCATGCGCCGATCATGCGCTATACTTTTGCGCTATGACCTCGCTGCCAGGGGGAAAAGGATGTTCGAGCGTGTTCTGGGCGAAAAAGGGTCGTTCTTGGACCGACTCCCCGCGGAGTCAAAAACGAACGTTTTTGGGGGGGCCAACACCCCACGTGCATTTTCCCGGTGGCCGGCTGTGTCGCGAAGCGCTTAATACATAAAAATAAACAAACAAACCAAATATAATAAAACACAAATCTCTTAAACAAATAATAATATTACAATATACCCTACCTCGGCCAAACGCAAGTTAAAAACACGGTTTTAGATTTTAGATAAAACTGCGAAGTGCAACATATACAACTAAGAAAAATCAGTAGCAAGAACTATTTCATGTAAAAAGGTTGTCATGCCTGCTATAGTAAAAATTGTAGGGCATGGTTTTGTTTTTCTTCACGGTGCTCTTAGCGGCGTGGCGGATCCACCTTGATGAGGCCAACCGCAAACCTCAATTGGCAACTTCGGAGCGCGTTTACTACTGGCGCATCACAAGCCGACGCCCCGACTTCAGGAGATTTGTGGTCTCTGGTGGCTCTGAGATCCTCAGAGATAACATCTTCTCGAAGGTGTGCCGCATGCACTCAAGCATGCCAACATAAAAATACAAGCAGCTGAAACTCATGTTTGCAGCATGTGTGCGCATCTCTGAGAGTGCCACCAAATTCCAGGATTCACCAGTTTTTGAGGGGTCACAGAGTCCACAGCGACCAGTCCGTTCAGAGTCTGCACAAACAACTGCAATCATCGCTGCCCTTGCTTTGCTCGCTGCCTTGCCGACTTCTGTGTCCGCTGAGGTGCTTTCCAGTAGAGCCTGGAAAATATTTAAATGTGCTGCCTCAACTTTCCTACACAATCGCAGCACGAAAACTCGCCCGCCTTCTGAGTGGCCAGTCCCAGGCTTACGCAGCTTGGAGGAGCTGGCCTGTTGGCCTGGCCCAAATGTTCTCGCAGGTGGTGACAGCTTGGTTGAGGTCCGAGCCCGGCCGCAGCGAAGCATTGCCTTTGCTTTGCTTGGGCTCAAGACCACTCTTTGAGCCCCAGCTTAGGGAAGGCTTGAGTCCTAGCAAGCCATTGAATGCGTGGCTGGAAGCTATCTTGATGTCGCACTTGCTACTGAAACTGACTGCTTGCAAGCGGGCGGCAATTGATGCACATTTTTTGCAGATCAATTTGGGAAGAGGTTGCCTCTTTGAGGTATTTGTGCTTCCATGAGAGGATCCCAGATCCCAGTGTGTTCTGGCTTGGAGAACCTTGATCCTCTCATGCAAGCTCACGCAGGCGCATGTTACGCAGAAATAGATATGCAAATTTGTCACCGCAAAGAGTGACCTCTGCATTGCTCCACCCGAGGTACCCAAGGTTACCCCTGGTCAGCTGCCCATGTGCTATATACAAAGTCTATATACATGGCACTAGAGGGATGGCGGCTTGCATGCAATTGCATTCTTTGCCCTGAGCAACGGAACCGGAGATGCAAGTCTCAGGTTGGGAATTGGAAACACAAATCACAACAGTCAGGTATCATTCCAAGAACAATCATGAAAACCAATGACGCCCCCAATATCCTGCAGACTCTGCTGGTCCACAAACACTGCACTTGTCACCCCGCAAAACGTCCCACTGCTCAGCATGTCGGCAGTTTGCACGCGGCCTACACGCACCAAGCTTTGCATCCTGCAATCCACATGCTGCCAACGCACATGCAGGGCACCTTGCGAGCCTCCGCAGTCAGGATGCACTGCCTGCGGGATCTGAATCGAGATGCCATCTACGGAGAATGCAATTTGGGGGACAAGTGGCACAATCGAATCCAGGCCGCGGTCGGCTGCTGTTTGAGCCTGAGTGCGCGCTGGACTTGCAGAAAGCCGTCGTCATGAGGCTGAGGCATCGGCCGGCATTGCACCTTTGATGTCCCTCTTGTGCAGATCAGCGCCGAAGTCACACAAAACTTGTACCACAGCCTAAGAAAGATAGAGGCAGCAAACAACAAACAGCTTTGGGCCCAAAACCCAATGCATCTCAACATATGCGCCAACAAGTTGGCAAGTCTGCGGCATCAAGGCGCTAGCCACGACTTTCTGCCGAGCGGCAGGATTATTCTGGCGTGCGGCGAGGTGCAAGGCTGTAAAGCCGCATTTGGAGGAGTTCCTGGCACGGGAGGTTTCACCGGGTCAAACTGAAAAGTCCCAACTTCAGCCAGGCTTCAGATCCACTTGCTGCTTGTGGAGGAAGCACACTACATCCTCAAAGGGCGCTATTTGAAATAGCAAGTGTGGCGAGGCCCATTCGTCCGCCTCCTGGTCACAGAAGGCAGCCGTGTGCAGAGGGGTAGCCCCCCATCCTGAGTCGCCAAAAGTAGCCAGCCACAACCACTGATGAGACGCCAGCTTTTCACGCCATGGGCCATCGCTGAACTCTCCTGAGCGCCAGGCTGTCGACCGCCTCCAAATCTGCCTTCCACTGCCACAACTCGCGGGCAATTGCCTGAACGCATGCGTGACGCTTGCTCTGCAGCCTTCAAGATGCATGGTCAGTGACCGACTGCGACTACCCTACCAACCACATCTTCCACACGCTCCCACTTTTTCGCGCTGGGATTGGTTCGCTGCTGGCAGGATTTGGCTAGAGAGCCCACTGCCAACGTGCGGAAATGCAATGCTTGACAGGATCGGTGCAACCTCGCCGTCAAGCACGCTAAGAAAAGATGTGCCCCAAATCCACAAACTTTCAGCGGATCGAAGTGGGAACCAGAACTGGCAAACCTGGCACAAAAGCAACTTGTCAGAGCACTTGCTCAAATGACCGATTGGAAAACCAGACCTCTCACGCTCACAAGCCCGGGTAGCCGAACTTGATGGCCCAGTCCTGGCGAATGCGCGAATATCTTTCCACGATGAGTTGGGCATGATTCCCCGACAGGCCCGCAAGAAGTCCTCAACCTCCTTCTTGAGGGCCTGCACCTCCGCGTTGCCAGGAATCGCTGCCTGCCAGTTGGAAGATTTCCATTTCCTCTTGCCCAAGGCAGTGGCCTCGAAGTCCTTGAGCTTCTTGCCCTTCTCCGCCTGAATCTTCAAAGCGATCTGGCAGCACACGCTCAGGAACTCACCGATGCGCTTGAAATCCTCGGCTAAAACACGACCTTGCGCCAACCGTTGGCGGAATTTTCAAAAGTCCGCAAAAATCTCTCTCTCTCTTTTTCTCTCTCTCTTTCTGGCTGTCTCTCTTCGAAATGAATCGAGAGACCATCGAGTCCCGAGTCCCGAGTCCCGAGTCAGTCCTGCTCTATGCAGCCGCGGGTGGTCATGGCTGGTGCGCCAACCCGCACGCCGCCCGGGGACAGCGCGGAGGCATCGCCGTGCACCGCGTTGCGGTTCAGCGTGATGCTCGCGGCCTCGCAGATCTTCTCCACCTTGGAGCCTCCAATGGCCATGGGTCAAAAGCCAAATCGTACCCCCAGAGAACATCAACCAATCCAACCACTAAAATAGGTTCTAAAATGGGTGGTGCACCTACCCCAATGGTACCATTGGTTTTGACCCACAGCCAAATGGAATCCGAAAGCTGAGCTCAAGCCATTCCCATTCAGTCCAAGATGCCAGTAAGGCCGTGTGGTCGCAAGTCCCACAGCAGGAGATGGTTGTCCGTGCCTTGCAACCGCACTTGCTCGAGCCGCAGCATCCAGATTTTCCATTCAATACTCTGTCCATGCAACATTTCTAGTCTGTACCCCTCTGGCCCTCTCTAGGTTCTGGGCCATCTGAGGCCAGCTTGTGGCCGAGCCCCATCAGAGTCTCTGCCAGCATCTTGGCGTTTGCCTTCACCTGAACTCAATTCTCGTCCGAATTCAATCGGCTCTCTCCCCGACTCTCCCCCTATCTTCCTATCTTCCTATCTGCACTCGCCTGCTTGGCGTAGTCCTTGAACATGGGGCTGTCCACCTCCAGGAGCTGCGCGGCCAAGCCGCCGATCTGGTGGTTGTGCGGGCCGCCCTGTAGCGCCGGGAACACGGCCATGTCGATGCGCTCCTTGATGTCCGGGATCTTGTCCTGAAACATCCAAAACACACAGATATATCTATATACATATATCTATCTATGTATATATATATATATATCAATTTTGATCGGTTCAGAAAGCAACGGCAAGATGCCAAGTCTCGGAGTATTTGAAGAAGATCATGCCGGCTCGAGGGCCACGCAGGGACTTGTGTGTGGTTGTGGTGACCACGTCGCAGTGCTCGAAGGGCGAAGGGTGCTCCCCTGTGGCCACCAACCCACTGATGTGGGCGATGTCTGCCATCAGGATGGCTCCGACCTGCTAGCAACATGATCGAAAGGGAAGTGCGGGCAAGTCGCCAAGAGCTTTTCCTGTGGCACTTGAATTGGTTGTGCGAGTGAAACGCTTGTGCGTATCTGTCAGTTTCATTAGAAACAGCTCGGCCTCATCGGCGATCTCCCGGAACTTGCCAAAGTCAATGACCCGAGGATAGGCCGAGGCTCCGCAAAGGATCATCGCGGGACGGAAGACCAGCGCTGTCTTGCGGAGCTCCTGATCGTCAGAAATTGCTTCGCTTTAGGTCTTATCGCTCTAACAGGCCTCGAAGTCGATGAGGCCAGTCTCCGGGTGCACTCGGTACGGCAAAGACTCGAAGTAGATGGAGGTGGCCGAGATCTTCCTGAGAGATAAACAGCACCAGCATGGCACACACACATCGCACCACATTGGCATTGCGTTGGAACAGCTTTCTGCCAGAAGTCTTCTTGGCGGTGTAGTAGCCGTGGGTGAGGTGACCGCCGCTGGGCAGGTCCAGGCCCATGACACGTGCGTGAGGAGGCAGCAGGGCCGTGTACACCTCAAGCACAAGGCAACTTTGAAGCCAACGTCTCAGCCTCTCATGGAGCCACTCTTTGCAACTCGCAAAGTAGCACTCAGGCAGTCTGAAAAGACCAAAGCACCGCAAAGTTGGCAGGGCTACCGGAGTAGGGCTGCACGTTCACGCCCCACTGCTTCTCATTCAAGCTGAACGCCTTCAACGCACGCTCCTTGCAAAGGTTCTCCACCTATCACGTCCGCCCCATCAGCATGCAAGTGCCAACTAAGTTTGGGGAGGAGCTGAGTGAAGCGAGCTCAGCATGAAGACTGCGCAAGAAAACATGTAACCTTTTTTCATTTATCTGCACTATGTGGCGTGCTAGTAAAAATCCGTGTCAAACTGATAGCCTCCAACACTGTAACACGCAAACAAACACACACGCACACCAAATCATGCAGTGTAATCGGCGAGCTTATTGTCGCGGAGCTGTGAACATGGAGAACTCTCTGCCTTGTCAATGACCTCATTGCCACCGTAATAGCGGGCTCCCGGCTGGCCCTCCGAGTACCTAAGGCACGATTAGATTTCTGCTTCTTCTCCCCTAGTGCGCGAAAACGCGCCAACACCTCAAATGCCTCAACTGCCTCAAATGACCAAATCACCTTTCAATGACACTGATCAATGGAAGCGACTTCGGATTTTGATACATCTTCTAGAACTCAACTTCAAGTCCGGTTCTCTGGATCTTGCCACGTGGCTTGTTGGTCAAAGCGGAGCCCAGGCACTCCATCACTGCACGGGACGTGAAGTTCTCCGAGGCGATGAGCTCGATGCACCGCATCTGCCGGCTCTTCTCCTCAAGCAATCCCAAGACTTGAGGCACGACCTAGAAAGCATATGCCAACATATATATATATATACAATTACGTATATAGAAGCATAATAAACAAATGAATAAATAAATAAATAAAGAAATACATAAAGCACATAAATCAATAAATAAGCAAATCAATAAAACAAACATAAAATAAATACATCAACAATAGAGAATAAATAAATCAAGACACAAACCAATATAAGCATATGCATATATAATATGTATACAGTGAACACATTTTATACGTGCAGCAGGCCTGCTGCACCAGGTCGTACATCGTAGGGTCGACCTCTTGCAGGGGCCGGTTGCCAGGCAAAGCGGGCCGGTTCGCCTGAAGGCTCGGTTCGCAGTCGCTTAAACCACTTACCACAACTTACCACAACTTACCACATCTTCAGAAATTTGGGCTTCACGATGTTCGAAGCCTTGGTGCCCGTGGTGATGCCCTGGGCGGAGACCATGAACTTGGCATCGGCCTCCACCTTTTGGAAGGCTTTGGCCTGCTCGTCCTCAAGGCACAAGTTGGCAGTTGACATGGAGCTTCCTCTGTTGGGCCAAGGATCTGAGATCTTTCCCAAGCCCTGGAGGATGCCAACCACCACCTGCCGGCAACCGGCAACGCACAGAACATTTGCAAGAAGAAACACCATGCAACAAAATGAGTGTCAACAAGTGCTTTGCCTTCTCCAGGTTCAAGGTGTAGAAGTGCAGGCCAGGAGCCCCACCATCCAGCAAAGCCTTGCACATGGCCGCGCCTTCCTGCGAGCGCAAGAAGGCGCACGTCGAATTTCTTGGTGTGTATCTCTCGCCAAGTGCATCCCCCATCGCGTGTCATGCGAGTGCATTTTCCATCTCTCGCCTTGATGCCGAACTCCTTGAACGCTTCATCGGAGGTGTTGGCTTGCTCGGCACGCTCCAGCAGGCCCTCGGGCACCCGCGTCTTGCAGAGCTCGGTCATGCGCTTCAAGCCGCCTACATCTGAAACGTCAAACACGACGTCCCTGAAGACATGGCCATGTCCAAAAACACCAAGGCGAGCTGCACAAAACACATGAGGCACGTGTCCGCGTGTCTCGCAGAATGGAACAATCTTCCACAGACCAATATCCGAGCCTAGATTGTTGAGGCACATGATGCCAGGCACAATGGGCACTTTGATGTCGTACTTGAGGCACTCCTGCGAATCGAATCGGATCCTTGCTCAAAAGCCAATACCGTGGCTCCTTCTGGAAGTCCAGAAACACCTCAGGGTCCAAGAACATCTGAGTGATCACGAACTCGGCGCCCGCATCAACCTTCTCCTTCAAGTACACCATCTCCTACATGCAGTCTGGGTGCATCATATGACATGCCCATCTTTGACTCAAGTCTCGAACAGTATGCCATTTCGCCGTCCTTGTGAAAGTTGGCATCCTTGCAAACAGTGATGACCTCCTTGCCATCTGCGTTCTTGGCCACACGTGCGCGGCGCTTTTCAGATGCGCTGAGGCTGTCCAGGCTGGGCACCTCGTCGATGTTGTCTGGGTGGCCTAGAGGCGTGGCTCACTGCCTAGGAGTCACTCCGTCTGTCGCTGTCCAAAAGAAGTTTACCAGGAACCTCCGTAAACAAAACTTCTGAACATGTTTGCAAACAAAACTGGAAGAATCGAACATCGCCAGAACCGGGGAATCGAAATGAATGTTCGGAAACAATGTCTCAGAGCGGGTGCGGAGAGGTCTCGACAATGGGTCTATTGGCATGGCCACGCACACGTACTGTTTCGCAACCCTCAAAAAGTGGACGGGTGGGTCGACCCTCAAACATGTTTTGCCGCAAAAGTTCTCCAGTAAATCTCTGAGTTTGCCTTGATGGAGCAAGACACAAGAAAGGACATGCAGAGCAAGATGCATGCGAGCACCTGCGCGGCAAGATGCGCAACAGCACGTGCGCGGCAGGATGCACGAGAGCACATGTCAAGCGCAAATGCAAAGAAAGACCCGCGAGAGCACATGCAGAGCAAGAAGCACGAGAGCACGTGCACAGCAGGATGCATGAGAGCACATGCAAACAAAGAAACACAAGAGCCTGTGCGGAGCAAGAAACACGAGCGCACGTGCAACGCAAGTACATGCGCGGCAAACTGCACGAGATAACACGCGCAGCAAATTGGACGAGCGAGAAAGTGTGGCACATGTGGACTCAAAATTTAACTTATTCTGTTTGGGCGGTGCGGTGCAAATTGATGCCCTCTGCGTGAATCGAGCTTTTTTACCGAAAGAGGCACGAGAGCATATGTCGAGATCACATGCAGAGCAAGATGCAGAGCAAGCACGGAGAACGAGGGAAGCAAATACACATCGGCCGGGTTGCTGTGCGCTAGGATGGCACGACCCGACGGTCTGAGCAACTTGCAGGGGGACACCGGACAGAGAAATATGCGCAACGCACGTGCGCAAAGAAGCATGCCCCCCGAGAGCTCGCCCAGAGAAACTCGCTTTGAGAACTTGAACAAACTTGCAAAGAGGTTGGGCAAACAGCTTGAGCAGAGACGCCTGCGTCGAGAACCACAGAGAAACTTGAGCAGAATAACTTGCGCAGAGCCTATTGGCGAACAGAACTTGCACGCAGAACTGGCGCAAAGAAACTTGCGTGAAGATCTGTCTACCGAAACTTGCATGCAAAGCCCCAGCTCCTTGCGCGCACATGTTAACACACAACACACTGATGCTGGAAGTCAACGCTCACTACATGCTGTGAGTTCGGGCCATCCGTGGTTCTAGCCTTTTAGTTTGGATTTTCGCTTGGCTCTCTCTGTGGACTTTCTCAAGGGGTGGTGTGGGGCGACTCTGCAGCAGGGCTCCGAGGGGATGGCCAGTTCCGAGGGTCTGCTTGCGAGATGCGAGGCTGCGAGGGCTCCGGAGTGTCGCGAACCGGGCGCGCGGTTCTTAGGAGACCCTTTCCTTCACAAAGGAGACACTCCGAAGCTCGGAAAGGGCAAGCCGCGGAGCGCGGGCGGGCACCCCGGTGCCGCCGCGCCGCCTGGCTCAGCCCAAGCGCGCAGTGTGCCCAAATATGTCACGGTGCAACGCGTAACAGCCCATTAAGGGAAACCACGTGAGCTGCCAACGGGTCGACAGAGAAGGAGACAGAGAGCGAAAAAGACACAGCGGAAAGAGACATAAGAAAGACAAAGAAAAAGATAGAAAGGAGACGGAGATAGGAGAAAGGAGAAAAAGACAAAGAAAGAAGGCAGAAAGAGAGAGAGAGAGAGAGAGAGAGAGGGAGTGTCTTCCGCCCCGGCTCCGCCCCGGCTCCGCCAGCTTTGCTCGTACTTGTTGCGGCTTGGCATTTCCTCGGCCCAATTGCATTGAAATTATGTGCATGAGCGAGCGAGCCAATGAGGTGGGCAAAATGGATTGGCGGAAGCACCGACAGTCTACTGAACAGATTGTTTAGCGCGTGAAGGGGCTGGCAAGTGAATGGAACTCAGTGGATGAAGCCCATTGGCAGGAGCGGATTTGGACGAACAGCGGACCCTGTCTGGGCTCTAAGGACAGACCCCTTGACAAAAGCGACACGTCTGGACAAAGTCGGTCCAACATGCCATAGGGGACCGTGTCGCATTGGAACGGCTTGTATTCTGCGCTTCGGCCTTCAGGGTATCCTGCCACAGAGATGGAGAAGTAGTCGCCGTGGTGCTTGCGCATGAACCTTGGAGAGTCTCTTCCTTGTCACAAAGCCCGAGGCTTGAACAAAACCGTGTAACCGGCCCTCAAGGTGCAGCTGTGGCACTTCACCAAGTCCAAGGCACTGCTAAAGCCGCCCTCGGTAGCGGTCCACTTCTCCTGGCCTCGAGGGGGATCGCCACGCAACGCCACGATGTTGCGGACGCCGTGCCTCAAACTCGGATCAGTCGGAAACGCAGCGGGCCAAGACATCTCAGCATCGAGCATTCGTCCGAATTGCTCGCAAAGCACATACCCCATGTCAGAACTTTTGGTTTCATTGGCGGACCAGTGTGTGCAAAATGAGACTCAATCATTCACTGAATGACCCGGTCAAGGTGCTTTTTGCAGTCCTCCAGTGCATTCCCAGTCATCTCAGAGCTCTGGTTGGTGCAGGTGAGGTGCATGTTGGCCACACAGCCAAACCTACCGAAAAGCAAAAAAGCGTCACAGCCATTTGAGAAGAATCCATTAAGGACAAGCGGAAATTGGCAGCTCGTTCCACTCGGCACGCGGCTCGTTCTTGGCTGCTGAGGTGAGCTTCAACGTGAGCTCAGAGGTGGAGCCTCCCGCGCCCCAGGTGAAGTCCGTAAAGAGCGGCCCCAAGGCCTGCAGCGGTTGCTGGAAATCCCCGCAGATATCCTTCCGGAGCTAGTTGTCTTACAAAGTTAGGTTGCTGGAAATCCTTGCAGATTTTGGTCGGACTGTTGTATCCTTCCGGAGCTGTCTTTCAAAGGACACTTCCTCTCAAGGCCCATGCATTTCGTCTATTTGTTGGTGCTTTTACAGAAGCGGATCGAGCCTTCATCTTCACGATGCGCTTGCGAAGGTTCTCCACACCCTCCGGCGTCTTGGGCGGGAAGTACTCAAAGGAAAACCATCCTGGACACAAGCTTGAGAGGCACTGGGCTCTCCCTCTCAGGCTGGCTGGAAAGCAAGCCTAAAGACTAGACCACAGTTGGCCCGAAAGCAGAACATCGCAAGCGAGGTCGGCCCAACGCTGCAGGATGCGTTCTTTTTCCCTACACGAAGCATTCGTGAAGCAAGCGCGAGACAGCACCAGGCAAGGTGCTCTGCGCAAACTGGTCGGTGCAAGTTGGTCTGCGCAAGTTGCTCTACGCAAGTTGCACTGTGCAAGTTGCTCTGCGCAAGTTGCTCCGCGCAAGTTGCTCCGGCAAGTTGGTCCCTGCAAGTGGCTCCAAAAGTTGCTCTGTGCAAGTTGCTCTCCCTCTGCTGTGTTGCTCTGCGCAAGTTGCTTTACGCAAGTTGCTCTGTGCAACTTGCTCGCAAGTTGCTCTGCGCAAGTTGCTTTAAAATGCAAGTTGCATCTTGCGACGCCCGCCCGCGGACCAGGGAGGAATCGAACCCGCGACCCGCCGGTTCCGGGAGCAGGCGCGCGAACCACGAGACAACTCCCGAGGACCAGTTCGAACAACAAAAGTCGCAAAAACCTCGAGTTTTTGCACCTCCACCACGCCGATCCCCGCAGAGGGTTGCGCGAGCACCGCAGAAATCGCAAAAAACCTCGAGTTTTTGCACCTCGACCACGCCGATCCCCGCAGAGGGTCGCGCGGGAACTTTAGAAATCGCAAAAAACCATGGGTTTTTGCACCTCGACCACGCCGATCCCCGCAGAGGGTCGATTTTCGTGTAGTGTCGTCGGCACTACCCCGCCGCCCTAAGAAGAGATTTTAACTCCTCGCAAGTCAATTGCACTTGACTCCTTGCACTTGCAACTTGCACTTGACTCCTTGCTTGTTTCAAGGAGTCATTGCAAGGAGTCATTGCAAGGAGTCATTGCAAGGAGTCATTGCAAGGAGTCATGGCAAGGAGTCATTGCAAGGAGTCATTGCAAGGAGTCATTGCAAGGAGTCATGCAAGTTGCAAGGAGCCAAGTGCATGGAGTCAAGTGCAAGTCGCAAGTGCACGGAGTTAAGTGCAAGTTGCAAGTGCAAGGAGCCAAGTGCAAGGAGCCAAGTGCAAGGAGCCAAGTGCAAGGAGCAAGTGCATGGAGTCAAGTGCAAGTTGCAATGTCAAGCAAGTGCAAGGAGTCAAGTGCAAGTTGCAAGTGCAAGGAGTCAAGTGCAAGTTGCAATCCTTGCCATGACTCCTTGCAATGACTCCTTGCAATGACTCCTTGCAATGACTCCTTGCAATGACTCCTTGCAATGACTCCTTGCAATGACTCCAATGACTCCTTGCAATGACTCCTTGCAATGACTCCTTGCAATGACTCCTTGCAATGACTCCTTGCAATGACTCCTTGCAATGACTCCTTGCAATGACTTTCATGATGATGATTGCTTGCAATGACACCTTGTAATGACTCTCATGAGAACAACTCAAGTGAACCCAGCGGAAGAACCCTTCGCCATGCTTTCGGGAAAAAGGAAGCGCAAGAAGAAAAGGAAGAAAAAGAAGGAAAAAGAAGAAGGAACGAGAGATCTCGTTTGCATGGCGCCGCGTCCTGGGGGAATCTGGGCCACCAGATCTGAGATCTTCTTGTCGTTCACCGCCATGCTTCAGACCGGGAGCGGAAAAGCGGAAGGGAAGATTTGAGGATTCGGCTGCAGTCGGGGTTCGAATACGACTTAGCTCATGCGAATCGCAACCAAACAGTCCAAAGGACTTTGCAACATCAGGATCTCTCGCCGGAACGATCGACACTGGCCTCGTAGCCAAAGCGTGCTGCCAAATGCAGGGCCGAGTGCTGGTGATTATCTCGTGCATCCACTGCAAGGCCTGCCGCAATCAATGCGCAGGTATCAAACAACTAAGAGCAAACACGGCAACATCATTCGAGGCTTCATTCACGCACTCACCACAAGTCAAATGGTAGGCTGTCCTTGACATAAGAGCCAGCGCACGATGTCCAAATCTCCGGAGAAGGCCGCCACGTGCAAAGGTGTCCTGGAGTTTGTCAAAATTGCACCTTTTACATACATATATGATATGTGGATAGCACAACTATGTGCAGATTCCCTCTTCCCCTTGACCGACCCAAAAAAAACGCTGATCTGTAGGTGTTGAGGTGTGGAGCACAAAGCAAATTCTATGTAGCGATTAGATACATGCTGTCTACTGCATCTTGGCCTGGGGTTTGTCCTTCGGGGCAACCATCCTCTCCACTATGAGTTACAGGGTAAAGGGGTATTGACCTGCAGGAACTCATGACTGCGGCAAGCTTTTGCTTTCGCTCCTGCCGACCCGATTGGGCGTGAGCTGGGCGCCTTCTCTGACCAAAAGTTGAAGAACCTCTAGGTGGCCCTCCTGGATAACCACGTCCAGCAGCCTGTTCGAAAAGGCTTTCTTTCCAGCAGCCTGTTCACTTCAAAATCAAGCAGAAATTCACACGCGTGTTTCCTTGTACCACTGTGATCACGAACATCGGGCGAGCAGCGTGCTTCGCAAAGCAGGCGAAGTGCCGGCAGGAAGCCTGGCAATGGAGGCAGTCCTTTGGCAACGCCCGTGCTCCAGCCTTGCTGAGCGGCAACGAAGGCCGCGGTCACGCCATTGTGTCCCTTCGCGTCCACATCCGCGCGGCACGCCAGGAGCCACGAGATGACCTGCGGCAGAGCTTTTCCATTCCGACCTTCGCGCCCATCCGCCTCCAGGGAATTCTTCTGGCAGGCCACGTGCAAAGGCTGCCGTCCGTCAGCTGCAACGCTATTCACGGAGGCCCGAGAATCCAAAAGGCACCTGCAAAAGAATAGAAATCCGAGAAAAAAAGAGAGAAAACACACAAGCCAAAATGCACAGCACAGCAATGCGCCGCTCCAGCCTGAGAACCTTCACATGGCCCTGCTGTGCTGCCAAGTGCATGGGCGTGGCGCCATTGGGCATGGGCTTCTCCTTCGATGGCGAAAGGAGCAAAACCGGTCTTTTAGCAAACTTGTGGCGAAAACTTGCTTTAGGCAAAACCAAGTTGAGCCCACCTGAGAGGCACCAGCTGCTACGAGTTCCTGAACCACACAGGAGCGGCCATGATACCTTGGCAACAGCTCAACGAATTCCCATCTGCAAATTCTTTAACCTGAGCTGCGAAGGAATCCCATCTGCCCACGCTACACTTTTGAAACTTTTAACGTGCACGTCATGCACACCGCGTCCGCGTGGCGCTGCGGCCAGCAGCGCAGTGATCCCATCGCGGCGGGCGAAGTCCAGGTCTGGGGGAGCTGGCAGCAGCAGTTCCCGCAGCGCTGCGAGGTTCCCCCACCTGCGATGCGAACTCGTTGCGAGAAAATGATCAAACACCAGAGTGTGGCACAAGCGGACCGCATTTTAGGCATGACCAGCACAGGAGACGATGCCGGAAGCAGCCGCCTGGCGCAGTCGATAAGCTGGTGGCCCACCTCTTTGTTGCACTGCACACAAATCAACCTTAGGCAATAGGCGCGCGATGGACAAGACTTGAGAGGTCTGCCTCAGCTGCTCTGGCGGCAGTTCCTGAGTGCCCGGGCTGCAGCTCGATAGTCTCGTTTGGTGAGAGGTCTTGCAATGTGAGGCTGTTGTCCAACTCCTTGCCCCCTGTGTCAGGTGCGCGCACATGCCCATACTCAAGCAAACGGGCTGCCATGTGCTCCATGGAAAAATGCTGCGTTTGCAATTTACATAATAAATTTGTGGGCCTGGCGAGTCCCTGACATGTAACTAGTGAGTCGTTGATGGAATTGGTGAGTCGTTGATGAGTCCATGTGCCTCCCCTGGCCAAAACGGCTGGAATTGGAGCATCGCTGCCTTGCAGCAGCTTCTGCGCATAAGGCGGCACGTTGCAGCTGCGCGCCAGCCGCGTCTTCAGCAACTGGAGCGCGCTGGAACGATTACACGCGCACACGCGCACACACGCAATCAAGCACAAAGAAACACAAGCAAACAGAAACACAATCAATAGACACAAACAAACAGAAACGCACACGCAAACACACGAACACGCCAACACCCAAATACACACCACCACCCCTGCCCCCGCCACGCCCACAAGCGCGCCCGCGCGCACACCCGCATGCGCACCCGCGCCTCTTCGCGTCTACCCATGCGCAAGCACGCACAAACACGCACGCGCACTTAGACTTTCGAGGGAGTGCTAATCTTCGATCGGGTTCAGCTTGGTAGATTTTGTGTACAACGGCTCAGCCGGCAAAACAATAGCTTCCCTCTACTGCAAAACGTTACGTATCAACTCCAACATGAAGCACACACAGCAGGAGAAACCAAGGGGCCAAAAGGACTTGGCGCAACATGTGCAGTTGCACATCCATGGCCGGTGGATGTTTCCCTCTCTTCTGTGTGGCTTCGTTGGACTGAGTAGCATCAGAGACCTCGGTCCCCCTGCTGAAAAACCGGTGGCGTCAGGGTGAATCTGACGTTCTGCACAACACACACACACACCGCTTGATTCCCAAAGCACCTATGGAATAAGTGGTTCCTTCCCTTCACTCGGCAAAGCCACCCTCTTACCCCTGACTCAGTGTCTCCCGTCCCACCAGCACATTGCTGCTGCGGAGGACGCCCAGCTGCGTGGCAGCACCACTCAGGTGCTGCACCTGGGCGAAGCCGGAAGTGAACACGAACCGGTTAGGAACCGCAAAATTAGGCTGTCCAAATCGAATCGAATCGGGGCAGTGGCGTTGATGGTTACAATGTCATCCTCGTCTTCCTGTGCCATGGCGATCTTGGCAGCCTCATTTTGAGCCCCAAAGCTGAGCCACTCCTTACTCCTCCGAGGCACTGAGCTTTCGAAAGCCGAACAAAGCCGGAGGCTGAAACTCGGGAGTCCAGATCGAACAGTTTGTGCGGGTCTGTCCCGTGAACCTGGTCTTAAGGAATGGTCAATCCGAGAATGGCAAGGGACAATCAGAATCGAGTCTCTCTCAGGGCTCAAGCGCTTTTGGTGCTTTTGGCTCCCTGAGCTCTCCCAGGGCTCCCGTGGCACTGCGGCCGCAAATGGGAATCGAGCTAGGCTCGGCATGCCCGGATAGGCTAGCCGGGCCGTGCAAAACGTGTGTACAAAGAGCAAAGCGGCTCCGGCAAAATGGCAAGGTCACCCATCCGTCCCAAATGATTCTGTCTTGAGACAAGCAAAGAGATAGGATGACCTGGCCAGCAAAATAGGAAGGGCATTGCCATGATTCAAACGATTTGCCAAACGCCAGCTCTCACAGCTAACGCTCAGGCGAGCTTTTCTGCCCGGAGCGGCCGATCCTGATGCATGTCTGGTCTGAACAGTGCTCACTCAGCTGCTTTCCCCGGCCTCGAGGCGCTGGTATCTCATCAGCTCCTTCGCAGGGCATCCATTCGCGAGCGCGGAAGGCCATGCGCATCCTGCGCCTGGAAGGTGGCGTCTTCTCTCCGGATCCACCTGGCACCGCACAGCTTCGTCGGGCTTCGTTCTCGGGTAAGCGATCTGAACCCGTCAGCTGGGCTCGGGCTGGTCTGGCACGCTCCAGGCAAGATAGGCCTAAACATGAAGCGGACTCCACTCATCTTCGCATCTACCCTCTTTGGATTCAACAAAGCACGCTTTTTTTGTATTCTGGCATGAATCATATCTTCTTAAAAACTAGCCAGCTTGTCGGAGCTGGAAATCAAAACTAGTGACATCTGCATTCTCTTCATCCTGCTCTCGTTGGCTTGTCAAACTGACTCTGTCTGGCGGAAGCATGAGGATTCAGAGTCACGACGTGCGAATCGCACTTAAATGGGTGAGAAGGCTTTGGCAGCCCTCGTTGATGACTTGGATTGGCTCGAGGCCCCGGCAAGGGGGACAAATCAAGGCGGCATTCTGCGAATCAATCCCTTGCCTTGACCGTCCCAAAGATTCCTAAAGGGCGCGACTCCCCAGGGGACGGGTGGTCTTGGAGCGCGATGATTTTCTTTTCCTTTCGCCTTCAATCACGTCTACCCTTTCGTAAAACGTCCAGCTCCAAGACCTTGGGATTTTTTATGGTCACGACCGTCCGTGGCAGCTGCAGCTGTCGCGGAAAGCCTCCAGGTTGGCCAAGTGCACCTGAATCAGTTGACATAGTGACTTAGTGACTTCCAGACTCAACGATTCCTTTTCGTCTTTTCGGATGCCTGGACTTGCAGCTCCTCCCAGTCCAACGTCCACGCGAAGCCTTTGAAAGACCTGGCCGAATGGCAACTGCTGTGACCAGTCCCTCAGTCCCTTCCACTCGCTTCCTTCGCGAAATGCCTAACCCCAAAGCTCCAGCCTTGCTGCTTGCCGACAGGCCTTGAGCCGACCGTGGAATGGAAAAAGCGGTTCTCGGGAGACAAGTTTTCGGGGCTCTGGGCCGCCCTGCCCTCTGCACCGAGGTCTTATCGGGGCCGCCTTCTTGCCTTTGCTCGGTGCAACTCATGCGACTGCCTTAAAGTCCTAGGGGCTTTTCACGCACTGGGCATCCGCGCAGCCACTTGAGAGGCAAAATGAGCTTCTCACCATCCTGCCCAAACAGCCTCTTGTGCCCTTCAGCTCAAAACTCATGGCGCCTCAAGTTCATGTCGACGCTGTAGAAGCTGATTTTGTAACCATCCTCGGGTTTGACCGTCTTTACTCAGCTCAGGCTCTTCGCTCTTCCTACATGCCCTTGGCTCACTCGTGGTGCAACCAGCGACGCCACATGCAGCCAATGTGCGGCGCAGTTCGGGCCCCTTGTCCGAGGTGTCCGATGTCTCGGAGCGAGACTCCAGAGACTCAGGAGGCTCTGGCGACACCTAAGAGCACAGTGGCCCTGCGATGGCGACTTGCGACTGCGACTCGAAAAGCCAAGTAGCGGGAATCACCGGCTCCTCTGGTCTGGGCCTGAGCGCCAAGCAAAAGCCGCAAGAAGCTATCAACAAGTTGAAACTGCTTTGTCTCCCACCTCTTGAGAGGCTGGGTTGCCTGAGACGCTGACACTCTGCTCGGAAGGGCAGCAAGGTCTCGAGCTGGGACCATCACACAGGGCACGAAGCTGTAGCCAGCAAAGTTGCCTCAAGGCGAAGAAGCTTTGTCTGAGACGGCACTATTCTGCCTGACACATCTACAATCCCATCTTCGAAGAACATGCGCAGCTGGAACTCCAATGCCTAATCACTAAGCGCAGACTTTGCAGTTTGAGCTGGGTCCAATGCATCTGTACATATGTATGTATGTAGATACACATATATGTAAACACATGTATACACATACATTATATATATACATATATATATATATATATATATATATATTGGCGTGCCTTTTTCAGGGGACGAAAAAGGTGTTCTTTTGGTTTTCCTTTAAAAGCCAAAAACAGAGGTACCCTCAGAAAAAGACACCCCTTTGCACAGGCCTGTCGTGTACCAGACTGGCATGGCCCAAGCCATCTGACACCTGGCAGTGTTGCATGGGGGCTCAGAAGCAAAGAAACCACTTGCGCTTTGGGCTCTGGGCATAGGCGATTTGGGCATAGGCTCCTGCAGAAACAGCATAGCCAATTGCCACGTGTGCTTTGGCAACCCGCCTGCATCGTTGTGGAGGTTGGTAACTTGTGATGCTCCGAATTCGGCAAGTCGCTACGGGGCAATATGAAGTGGGAATGGTGGTTTGATGGCTTGACCCAATGACTCGGGGAATTTGAGCATGTTGGACCAAGCCTCATGCTGTGCACTTGGATAAGGGCGATGTCCTAGCGAGCCTAGATCAGTCTAAGCCGAAGCCTGAGCCCGGAAACGGAGCACGTCAAACAGAATCAAACAGAAGGGTTCGAGGCGGAAGGGCTGCGCTGCTAGCGCTAGCCATGTGCGCTCACCAGCCTTGAAGAAGAGCAGACCGTGCTCCAGCAGGATCAAAGAGAATGCCGACCATCTGCCGTGCGTTTCATTCGCATCTCCAGTTCCCCACTCGGAATTCGGAGTTCCTAGAAGCCAACTCGACGCGTGCCATGGAAATGGTGTAAGCGATTCACAAAGCCGCACCTGTCTCCGGAGATGCCCAGCACTGCCACATTACACATCACCGAGACGATGGACAGCGCCTCGGCACGGCATTTCTGAGCTCGAGCTGCCGTAAGAAAAAATGCTGTTCTCTGGCCAACTTCGAAACGCCGTTAACGTTGAAGCATTTTGATAAACATGGCACGGCTGTCTACCTTTGCAGCTGGTGAAAAGGACTACCCAAAGCCAAGGTCCCGATTGAGCGCGCTGCCTCCAAGACCTCCACCCAGGTGTCTGAGATGATGCCGTCCGCCGGCGAGGGCGGTGCAAGCATGTTTACCTCAAAAGCCAGGCTCAATCACACTCGGCTCCCGTCCGGGAGCTGAATAGTGCCTGGAAAAGCAGCGCTGCATTGTCTATTCCCTTCCGGTTCAGCTTGAGTCTTCGTGCAGGGCCCGGGCATTGAGGAACTTGTAGGCATCTGTCTTCCTTCGTGCTTTTCAGGGAATTGGCAGTTCGCAATGAGGTGAGGCCATGCCGTGTTCTGAATCTGAGCAGTCCTGGAGACGAAGGTGTGCAGCAAGGCCAGCAGAGGACCCAAAGGAAAGGCGATCTCGGCGTTCGATGGGAGCCATCTCCACACTGAGGCGCTGGTTCTTAGGCCTCCCCACTGCGAAGGAGTTTGTGAGGGCGAAAAGCACCACCAGCTGCTGGTACTCCGCACAGAGGTCAGTTTTGTCCTTGGACCGCATTTGGACAGGCAGCTGCCGTGGTCGACTTCGAAATCGGAGTCACGGCAATCGAAGGGCACAGGCATGAGCTCCAGGCTAGGCTCAGCTGTCGGCCAACATCCTCTTGCAAGGAGGTTCCCTCAGCGAGTTCCAGGCACGGCTCAAAATGGCTCAAAGCAACTTCTTTGGCTATTCATGCTGGCAAGCGCCCCTGGGGCAAAGGACGTCACCCAGCACGGCGCTGGTGCCCATCCTCCGAAGCCTGGGCACAAAGTCCGTCACAGAGTCTCTTGCCAGGGGTTTGCGCCCGTTAGACCAGCGAGCCGTTCTTAGTGTCCTCTGGCCGCGAGAAGCTAAGCATAGCTAAGCTCCAGCAAGCACTTTAGCTCGTCTTGCTGTCATGCGCATGGGCGTAGATTTCAGGCGTCGTGGGCATGCTTACAATGGCTTGCATGCCAGTCTCGCCCAAGAGTACGGCGAGGAACTCAGCGCACGTTGGCTTCAAGGGAGCCTTGCTCGGGATCTTGGCCAAGCAGTGTTGCACTGGCGTCTAACCCCACACCCTGCCATCTATCTGCAGCTCACGTCTGCAGGCGCAGCCGTAGGGTGCAATCTTGGAGAGTTTCAGATTTCCTTCCTCTCCCTCCTCCTCTCCTCCTCTCCTCCTCCCTCCCCCGAATCCCAGCCCTTCCGTCTTTGGCCAAGGCGTTGGGCAGCCCGTCCTGGCCTCCTGCCACGCAGTGCTCGAAAGCGGATCTTGCAACTCTGCCCGCCTGCCGCCTTTCCATTTTTGCCTCGAAAAGGCACCAGTCCAGTCTCTGTACAGACCAAACAAAGCGCTCTAGGCATTCCCGGCCCAGCCTCGGCTGCTGGAACGGAGCCCTGATCAACACCCTCAGCCGTATGCATTTTCTCGCTCAGAATCCGCTCCTCGGCCCTGGAGCGCTGCCGCAACACCTGGCCCGAAATCAATCAGGCCATGCTACCTAGCCTGAAGCTGAAAATTTGTCGCCAGGCTCACAGGGATCAGAAGCTCCTGAGCCAGGGCCACCACCTGGACATCGAGACTCCGAGAGGCAAAGCATCGGAAGCATCGCTCGAAGCTCCGGGACTTCGCCTGCTTCACGGTCATGAACATCAGCAGCTGGGACCTGTGCTGCCGCTCCGCGAATCGGACTCTCCAGTCGGATATTTATCTGGATTCCTCTGGCCTGAGGTACTCGAGGTCTTGCATGCAAAACGCCACATAAAGGAACCAGCCTTGGTCGCAAAGTGCCAGTCTGGCCATGGTGCGCAACTTGGAAATGAATTCTCGAGGGCGTGACGACATGCCTTGAGTGTGAAGTCACTCTCAGCAGCTGACCCAAGTAGTTCACCAGCTGGAAGAACAAGGTCTGGCAGCATTCTCGCGGTGCAACTTGTGCCCAGTGCCCTTAAGGCCCCAAGTGGAATCGGACTCATCGCTTGCCCGTTCAGCTCATCGAGCACACCCAAAGCCCCCTTTTTTGTTTGTGGCCAGTGCTTCTAGTGCTTCCGGCCTTGGACATGAGGGACTTCAAGTGCTCTGCGAAAGAGACCTTGCAAGTATGAACCATGAGACCATGGTTTCTCCGGCGACTTACAGTTGGGAAGGGCTTCTTGCGAAGTTGGTGCCAGAAGGACATGCCAATATTCTGGTTGCTTCCCTGCATGCGCCCGGCAACTGGGCTACTCGCGTGGCGCTCCGATCTCACCAGGCGTCCCACCTGGGAGGTGTAGAGCCTCGCGCCCAACTCACACGCCAAACCTGAGACGTGCAACGCGTGCAACGCGCCTCTCCATCAAGGTGACAACTATGAGATACAGAAGGACCTGACGCGCAAAACCCCGCAAGCCGCGGGCCTTAAAGGCCGCGCCCGGTGAGCAAACATCTTGATTGAGATAAACCCCCGTTCAGTCTCGCAAAGTGAGTGGAACTGCAAAGCTGAACCGCGAAAGCAACACATCAAGCAGGCGGAATTTCTGGTGGCCCGGCTGGAGCATTCTGCACCAGGATGTTGTCTGACTCGCGCTCTGCCACCTGGTGGGCAGGTGGATGCGCCAGAATGTGAGCCCAACAATTGGTGGCTTGTCCGTCTCTTGCCCCATGAAGGACGAAGTTGACTCCAATTCCCAAGTTAAGTGAAGGGCACCAAATCTTCCAGCCGGACTGACCTTTTTGCACGTGGCAAAACCCCTGGCTTGCGGCCGGGAACACAAAAATGGGGCACATGTGCCCTTGCGGCTGCCAAAATGGTTCGCCGCCTGGCCGCCCTGTGCCGAGTCACCACGCACTACGTCTGGCGCCTGGCTCTTTGCTACCGCCCGGCGGCCAAAAGACTTGCGCATCCGAACAGCTACGACTTGAGCGACAGCTCCCCAGCTGCGAGGAATCTCACTTCGGGGAAGCGTTTCATTGGCAAATCGCCGTGATTCACTCCCGAGCCCGATGGCTTGATTCCTGGCAATGGGGTGAGGAGAGCCTCTGAACGGAGTGCGCAAGCCGTTGGTTCTCAAGGCAAAGGGCGCCAGAAAAAGCTGTCCTGTCTGACGCGTTTGCACCAAAAGACGAAGGAAGGAACCAGTACGTCAAACAGGTCAGACATATTTTCAGGTCTATCCATGCTCTATTTTGTGGTGGCAAACTTGGCGTCCTGCCGGCATGAGGAGGCGTCAACGCCATATGCTGTGAGCCTCCTGCAAAATTCGTATACTGCACGATGGAAACGGGTTTCTCTTGGACTTGCCGGACAAAGAGGTCGAATTGTCTGCAAGTCATCGAGAGGTGGACCAAGACTGCGGTGCTTACGACTCTGCCCACAACTAGTCGATTGTGCCATGGGGCGTGCAGGTGAATTCACTCCAAGCTTCAGCCAAATCGGGCATCCAAACATCCGAGTTGAAATTGAAATGTGAGCGGGAACAACACAACTTGAGTTCAACAGCTCATTGATTCAGACATCTCATTCGCGCTGCTTGGATGCCCCTCCCATGCCAGTCACTCGGCCGTCTCGGTGCGCCAGGCACGCTTTTACGGCGCCCGGCAAGATGTTCACTCCAGACCCGTACAGCAAAGCGTCAGGCTCTCCAGACCCGCTTTTGGAACCACGGGAATCTTTATATTCCAATTCGAAAGCATTTGAAATCCGAAGGGCTAGACTTTAGGGACTGGATTCACCTGCGCTTCCTGGCATGGCACACCTTCTCAAGAAGATAGAAGCAGGAAGCAACCACAAGAAGAGGCATCGCACCCAAAAGCTCCAAACCCTCTTTGCTTTTAGGCTGTGACCACACCAGAGCCCTTCGTGCATCTCTCCAAGACAGTACGAGATTTCCCGCAGTCAAGCAGCCAAAAGTCTCGCAAGTCTGCGACGCGAAACTTCCAGCGACGCGGCGAACATCTCGCAGCACTACACCCTACGAGCGGCATGGCACGGGAACTTGGCGATATGTGTTTTTCTTTTTACTTTTTCTTTTGTATGATTCAAAAGTCCCAATCAAAACCCGGCTGGAAGAACAGGTGCCAAACGCCATGTCAGCCAATATCAGGAATCACAAGGGGGCCGCTTGTACTGGTGATGATGTGGACAGAAATTACCCGGGTTTTGGTGTTCTTGTCTGTTGGCGAAGTTGTATCCGAAGCACGCTTGGATGCACCGTTGATGCTCCGTGCTCCCTGAGCCCGATACCGAAAGGATCGACTCAGCCCAAACTGGCTGAATAGCTGGTGTCAATGCCGAAAACATATCTGGCTTCAACACTCTGGCAATTCACAACTTATGATGGTCTCGAGCATCGTGCCATAATCAAGCACATCCTTTCAGCATCGTATGACAAAACGCGCGTAGGCTACAAAGTTGATCTGTGAGGCACTGCAGCAGTTTGACTAATGCAGCATGCTGCATGCACACTTCTTTCAAAATCAAGTAGCGTCCTTTCCACAAGCTTGCCACTGGTGCTTCACGTGTTGGATCAGCAGGCGGTCATGATCCGCATTGCAGCAGTCCGCAAATTTCCAACACCTTTGCAGAGCAACACCCCAGCCAGTTCCCAGTACTTGACCGGGCAATGCTGCCAAGCAAAATCCAGATCAAGCTGTCACATAAACTTCGCCTGAGCTGTACATTCTCAGTTCCACAAACATTTTCGGAAAACGAGAGGTGGGATGGCTGGCATACGCATGGGGAAAGGACCCCTCAACTCGCATAGTCAATCAACAAGGATCAACACGGACCTGCCATCCCTCTCTCGAGCGGCCCTCTGCTCAAAGCTGGCTGAGGCCGGGTGGGGCCTTCACCTCACAGGCTGAATCGCTCAAAGCCAAAGCTTCAGAGTCAGAACCTACTTGCAACCGTTGTCACAGTTATCTTCATACTTGTCAACGAAACCGCAACGCCAAGGAACCGTCTTCACCGGCTTGTCAAGGCTGAGATTCGGCACCTGGCGAACGCTCAAACCCGAGCTCCCCGACCTGCGTCGCGGCGTCGCGCTGGGCCGCCTTGAGCCCAAGCTCGAAGACCAGCGCATCAAAGCGGGCACTGCCCAGCACAGACTTCCTAAGGGGAATCTGGCTCCGTTGCCAGCGCTTGCCGGAAAAAAAACTTCTTTAAAACACTTTGGACCAAGTGATTCACAGAAGCACATAAGTCCTTCTTTCAACTTTCAACTTACGATCTCTCCGTGCCACCTTTTGGCAACCCAAGAGTCGCCACCCGCAGCGGAGGCTGTGTGATCTTGAGCCTCATGCAAGAAAAGCAGGAGCTATGACTCGACGTTTCTGGCGAAATCTGAGACAATCTTCGCAAATGCCAGCTCAGCCCCGTGCCCTCGACCGTGGTGGTTTCGCAATGTCTCCTGGCGGCGCACACACACACACACACAGGGCTTGCTTACTTTCTCAAAGGAAGCTCAGACTCAGCAGCTAAGCATGTTTGAGAAAGCAAAGGGCTCCTCCACGCGCTCGCGCTGGCGTGGACGTGCGCGGGCATAAGAACTCAACTGGACGGTGAGGCAGAACTCATCCATGGTAACGCCACGTTCCTGCTGCCACAAACACAATTCACACGGAAGCACACTGGCCACATCGCTATCACAAACATAACGAACAACAGCTATCTGTCTGCTGTGCAGAATGCATGGGACACGTTTTATTCGATATTTGAATCTGGTGTCGGGGAGAAGTGAGCTCTGCGGGTCCTCCATTTCACTGAAGATGCGTTCCACCTCTGTAAAAGCGCCCTGCTGAGCGTAGCCCTGATCGGGGATTCTGTCCCGCGCTCTCTCTATGCGGTCTGGAGGTCCCCAAAGTCCGCTATCAATCCCCTCCTGGAAACCTGCCGATTCCCATCCTTTCACCTTGATCCTTCGCGGTTGAAAGGTAACAAACATTGAAACGAAACAAAAACAAAGGAAACCATCAAGCTCCGTGCTCAGACCCTGCCTGTGCAGCTGAAGTGAAGGACTGCCGCGTCGGCCGCAGCTCAGCACGCGCTGCAGGGGGGAGCTCGAGGAATGCGGAACACATCGGAAAATACACAATACACAAACGGGTGTGGCTCAAAAATAAAACAGGAGGGGCAAACCGCAGGTTTTGGTCCATGTTTCCCACTTACCAGGGTTCCATTTTGGTACCGGGTTTTTGAGCCACAAAACTCGATCGCGGCTCTGAAGTCTGAAGCAACCGCGCCTGCCAAACGCCCCAGCCAGTACTCTGCCTGCTTGGCTTGTCCCGCCTGAGCTCAGAATGCGAAAGGAACTTCCGCATGCAAGTCATCCTTAAAGTTTCCAGAGCTCTCAGTCAGAAAGCTCCAAGGAGTCATTTGAAGTGCCGGCCTTGGAGCATGCATCGATGACGTTGTTGAAGCAAACCTCGCAGATGGGGGGCAGTTTTCGCGCGCCACGCACCAAGGACACAAAGACTTGCCAGGCATTGTGGCATGCCAAGATTCCACTAGCCACTCCAAGAAGTCTAAAGGAGTCTAAAGGCAGGCCTCCGTTGGAGCGACGTTGCCTTGGCACATCTTCTCCAGCCAGCGCTCTGCACGCCTCGCGGAGTGGAGGATTTCCCGAGACTCCCCACCGACGAGGTCCGCGCTTGAAGTCGCCAGCTTTTGCGCAGGTGTTGAGCATCGCGCTGAAGGTCACGGCATTCGCCTGAGCAAAACTCAAGGCCTGAGAACTCAAAAAGGGCTGGGGCAAAGATACGCAAATTCAACGTGAGAGTCCGGAAGTCCTGCCTCAATTCCGGCAGCTTGCATCGTCTCAAACCACCTGAGGTGGCCCATCGCAAGCTCTCTGTCTTGCAACCGGCGCAAGGGATCTAGAGACGCCCATGCGAGCACTCACAAACCTGTGCTCATGTTCCTTGTTTGCCGCCTCTCACTTTTCGTCCTCATTGCCACCCAAGCTCTCCCAATCGGCCTCTCTGCGCGGTTGATGTCCCCGGCCTTCACACAAGCGTTGATCAAGGCCTGAGAGTGCAGTCTTTGCGACCGCGCTTGGTTCTGGGTTGCCACGACAAGCCGCTCTTACAAAGGGTGCTCTAAGTCCTTATGTAAAGGGGGCTAATGACCATATGGAGAATATCCAGACTGATTTTGCCAACAAACATGTGGCTGATTGTCGAGTCTGTTCACAAGAAGAAGCAGCAAGAGTTCAAGCCTCTGTGCACGATGGCCCAGATTTGAGTGTTGCTCGACGCATTACCATGTACACTTGCGTTGTTTTGCATATCGTACTCACTTTGTGTGTGTGGGTGCTTGATGTTGCTTGGGTGATTTCGTGCAATGTTCTTGTTGTGGGTTTTGCAAGAGTTCGGGGGACATGTGCTTCCTTTGAGTTGCACACCCGAAACACTTCGTTACTCCACTTGCCATAACACCCCCCGCGAAAGACAACAAAGCTAACAGCATGGTTGCAACAGCTCGTAGTAGCGAGCTGTTACTTCGCTAAAACATGGCAAAGCGGTTCGGCTTTCCGGCAAAGCGCACTTCGCCACTTTAACCCTCGACAAAGCTGCAGTGTAGGTCACCACGTTCGCCT